AGTTTTACTATGGTGTTCTGCATTTGTGGATTTGGGAAATCAATGCCCCCTTTCTTTGGAATGGGCCTGAACTGTAAAGAGCAATTTTGTTTAGGTGTAAGGTCACATTGCACAGATCTGCCAACACAGTCACAGAGATCCAAATTCTCTAGATGCTTGCTGCTGCTCCCGTTCACAACTGTCACAAAGAGCTCTGCCTGGAGGTAACAGGATGATCTCTGCCTGGAGGCATCAGAGAGCATCACCAAGCAGAACCGAGATACCAGCTGGCACACTGCCCTTAGCCCTGGGTTCTGTTGCCATTTGACTTAATGACACCACATGCTTTATTTTCCCAACCAAAACTTTGCATAATTGAGGATGACAGCAAATTTGTCTTAAAGACCCAAAACATTTAATTTTCCTTTCCAATACAGTTTATAAGTTAGACAGGTGCCTGGTGTATACCTATAATCCCAGCAGCTCAGGAGGCTGAGGCAGGAGGATGAAGAGTTCAAAGCCAGCCTCAGCAACTTAACAAGGCCCTAAGCAACTCGTCAAGACCTTGTCTCTAAATAAAATATAAAAAAAGTTTGGGAATGTGTCTCAGTGGTTAAGCAACACCTGGGTTCAACCCCAAGAACAGCAACAAAAAAAAAAAAAAACAGGCCCTAAAACCATCAGTTCGGATCAAGAAAATAAAAATTTAACATTAATCATGTTCACTATTAAAAATATAACAATATGAAAGACTTTACATGTTTCTAGTTTAAAAAATTTAATCAGATTGATTGCCTAGTATATTCCCAGCAATAAAGCATTTTTTGGAAGCTTTATTTATTCTTTAAAATAATGAGATACTCCTAGTCTGGTGTTTGTCTGCATTCATAGCTTCAGACCCCTAAGTTGCTATTTAGGGTTATGCCAGCTGGTGCTTTGATGGAATTAATGAATGCAGCATCCAGAGTTGCCCAACTTACATCCAAAGAAGAGCTTAAACTAACACCTTCCATCTGTTTTTATGGTACTCCCAGGAAATCTCAGGTTACTTTAAAGGAGATCAGAAACTCCAACAAAATTACTCTGGATACACAAATCTCACACACATATACTCACATATGCCAAATATAAATATACCCACATGCATATATTCATTCTGGAAGAGACAAAGTCAGGAAATTCATAGGTCCCCAAGATCCTAGAAGGGTAAAAGAGTCACAGATTATATCATACACTGGATTAGAACTAATTGTGGAAAATAAAAGTCCACTTACTTCACACAACATCATACATTGGATCATGTGAAAGAAAAAAAGGATTTTGTGGGGCAAAACAAAAGTTAATGATGCTGACTCTTAAATGATGCTTTTGTGGATGACTTACTAATAGATCCAACAGGACATGAACCTGGTTGCATTTCCTACTTATTTCATCCATTTTTTTTTCATCTCTAAGTCACGCTACACGGTGGTCTCTGAATGGAGAAACAATTCATCTTGCATCTCAATAAAATTTTATTAGATATTCCTGTTGCTAATGGAGCCAAAGCAGAATCAATACACGTATTCATCATGTTACACACACATACAGGTCAAGGGTTAAGAAAATGTTTTTGGCGCAGCCGTAATCAGACAAACCTCCTATAATTAGACTGTTGGCTGACTCTTTGAGGTTATGTACTGGGAGGGGTCCAAGGGGCTTTCAATCATATTACTGAGGGCAAAATTCCTTTGCTTAAATCAAATTCACTTTCCTACAATCAGATTAAACAGGCAGTCAAGAGCATGAACCTGTCATTTCCTTATTCTCTGTGACCAAGTTTCCCATTCACTCTCTGCCTCAATTTTTCCTTCTGTAAAAAGGAGGAATAGTGCTTGCCYCACAGAACTGCTATGAGAATTAAAAGCACTATAAGGTAAAGTTCTTGGCCCAGTGCCCACAGCAAGCTTTCAATAAGGTGTTATTATTATCATCATTCATTACCCAACCTGCCAGATGTTCCCTGAGCTAGAGGTAACTGCAGAACTCAAAAGATTTCTGATAAACTTATAATCATGTTGGCTACTTTAAATATATTTTAATTAAACGATAATAGCATTAGATTTTTTGTGTTAAATTTTCAATATTAAACATATGTAATTTACTTGATCTGAATATTAATTTGCATATTTGTCCCACATACATTCTGAACAGCTTGGAGTTGGGGGAAGACTGTGTTGGAGCTGAGCATGGTAGCACATTCCTGTAATCCCAAAGGCTCAGGAGGCTGAGGCAGAAGGATCCCAAGTTCAAAGCCAGCCTCAGCAACTTAGTGAGGGCCTAAGCAACTCAGTGAGACCCTGTCTCTAAATTAAATATAAAAAAGGGCTGGGGATGTGGCTCAGTGGTTAAGCGTCCCTGGGTTCAATAATAATAATAATAATAAGTGCATTGGTTAGGTATGTGGAAATGTATTGGAAGTTCCACCACTGATGACGTGTGTGGCCCATGGCCACAATTACCAGATTTCTTCCTATAGCAAAGGGTTTGAGCCAGGTGACCTCTATGACACCTTCTATTCTAGGAACAAAAGTATTATTAAGCTGGCATTGCCCTGAATTCTGTGAGCTGTGACTGCATCATCTTCAATCCTCCTTGACTTGCAGTGTGACGCCACTTACAGTTTTGCAGCTTTGTGATGGTGTGAAAGCAAAAAGCATTCAGGAGAAATCATTCTTGTAATTTTGTGTTTTGACCTGCTCCCAGGCTGGAGATATTGCTGTTAGGTCCTCTTATGATGCTGAATGGCGGTCAGCTCAGAGTCAGCCCAAGATCATGCCAGAAAAGAACCTATACCCACTGTGAACCATGCTGATGAGATAGGATGCTCAGTAGACTGGGTGTACTTGCCTTTTCATCTTAATGATATTTTCAGTTAACGAAGGGCTTATGGGGGGGGGATAATCCCAKCATAAAGGAGGAACATCTGTATTTAAAGAAACCATCCAGAATAAAATGGGAAAATCCTAACTAAAAAGTTCCCTAGCCTAGCGCTTCCCAGGATAGCTCGTAACCAAATGCTAGTGTGAAAGAAGTTACACAGAATTCACATTAAATTGACCACATATGCCATCTTTATTGAGAAATTAGAGGGGGAATACAAATTTAATATATACTGACAAATTATTCAACTACATTTCATTCAGCATGGCTGATTAGGAGAAAGAGTATGAGTATTTTTCAGGCACTCCTAGAACTCTTGAATGTTGGCCTGAAGCTTATTTCTGGAGAAATAAGAAAGAAGATAGGCACTTCCTCCAGAAAAGAGGAAAGACATTATTAGAAGACACCACAGAGAATCACTTGAAATCCTTTAAATGCACATCTCAGGAAAATGGGACTTTATCCTACCTGGATTTCTGACCTAGCAAGTACCTCCCAAGACAAACAGGTAAGTCATACACAGACAGCACGAAAGACTTAAGAAGAAGAGGGAAGGAAGTTCCCATCAGCAGAGACTACAGAGTCCAAGAGAGTTTGGGAAGCCATGGAGACTTAAATGGAGATTTGTACCTTTATGATACATGCATGATTTGGAAGGAAATCAAAGAGGAAGACAGCTGACTTCTCAGCAAAAACACATATTTAAAATGCACATGTTCTCTTTGGATTGGGCAGTGAGGGGAGGGGAGGGGGAATGGGGGTAGGAAAGATGGTCGAATGAGGCGGACATCATTACCCTAGGTACATGTATGACTGCACAAATGTCGTGACTACATCATGTACAACCAGAGAAATTAAAAGTTGTGCTCCATTTGTGTACAATGAATTGAAATGCATTCCACTGTCATGAATAACAAATTAGAACAATTATTTTAAAAAATGCACGTGTTCTATCACGGAAGGTGGCACACATATATCATCTTGGAGACTTAAGAGGCCGGAATAGAAGGATCACAAGTTCTAAGCCAGTCTCTGCAACTTAAATGAGAACCTGTCTTGAAATTAAAAAAATAAAAAGGGCTGGGGTAGAGCACCCACCCCTGGATTCAAACCCCAGTACCACAGAAAGAAAGAAAGAAAAGAACATGTCCTACAAACATCCAAAGTGTTATCTATAAATGCTAGTAACAACCATGGTTAACTTTAGTACAGATCCTGAGGAATGAGCATTGGGCTTCTTCCTATTCAGGCAAGGAGGCTTTCAATCATCCTTAAGTGCCCTGTTGCCTAAATACCAGCTTATAGCAACAAATATACACAGTATTACCAAATGGTAAGACTGGGAAAATCATCCATTTGGCCAATGCTGGAGAATCCTGTTTTAATCTAGGTTTCTGTTTTTGAAGAAATTAAAATGTTGCTTTCTGGAATTCTTGGATTCATCAAGGAGAATTCAGAGGAAATATGGATGGTCCATAGCAAGTTAGCATTTCCTGCTGAACAAATTTCTTCAACTGGCCCTCCAGCCATGCGCCCTTGCCAACATTTCACAATACAAAAGAGAACCATGGCTTCCAGTAGGAGCAGAGCAACTAATCCCCATTGTCACACCTGATATGGCCCACCATAGCCCCATAAGGATGCGTTTTCTATCGACTAATAAAAATTGGTCCTTAAGACAATAGCCGGATGCTAACCTCAATACCCATTGGATATTGCAAATTAATACAGTGAAAGCAACCCAACTAAAAATTATGCCCAAACACAGTCTCACCCGCCAAAATATAATCAGCTACTTCAAATATTACACKACAACCTATTCTAAACAGGTCTTAATTAAAAGCAGACAAGCACGGATACATAAATTCTCAGTTCTTGTGGCTGTGGCCACCCTAGGCTACCTCCCCAGTGGTGGACGCAAACGTTAATGTGGTGGTTTCAGGACACTGAGAGCAAGGAAGGTAGCATTTTTGGCGTTCACCTTCTAAGGCTCTCCCCAGAACTGCCAGAACACCCGCGCCTCCTTCTCCCACTAAAGGTGGATCTAGCTAACAGGAGACTCTGGATGGTGACCGTGGTGCCTCTGTCCCCACCTTTAGCCTCATCTTAGCAAGTGGTCCTCTGCGGATCCAACAGATCCGCCAGCTACGCGGAGGCCGCGCGGTTTCATCATTAACGCTCCTGAAGGACAATAGCTCATCAAGCCCCACCGAAAGCCCCGGACCCATCGCGGAGCCAGGGCTGGCGGGGGATGAGGCTGAGCGACTCCTCCTAGAGGTGGTTATGTGGAGAAGGAGCAATCCCTTCTCCCTCCTCCTCCTCCCCCCCGCTACTATCCGCGGCCCAGAGAACTGCCGCTTGCCGCCATTGACACGCACAGATAAAACCCAAAGAAAGGCAAAGAGTCCTGCCCGGCACCGGCGCCGCGCGGGCCGAACCTGCGCCCGGGGAGGGGCGCGCAGAGGGCACCGGGCGCCCGGAGCCGGCGGCGCAGCACCAGGTGAGCCCGCCATGGCGATGGCATTATTGTTTAGGGGCTCCGGGGTCTGGAAACAAAACGCGCTGCCAGGGCAGTGCAGGGGCCGGACACAGCCACCCCTTCCTCTCCCCCAGCCCCTGCGGGCGCATCCCCAATAGCCAGCCCACCCTCCGCATATAAAGAAAATTTAATAAACCAAACTGCCCAACTTGCTTCCTCGGGAAATAAGGGGGGAGGGGGGTGCTAAAGAAGCGGCAAAATTCCTGCGGCCGGCGAGGGGCCGGGGACAGCGTGGGCATTGAGGCAGGGAGGAAGGAGGGATGCGCGGTCCAGCTGCGGGGCCCGGGCGAGGCTGGCCCTGGAGGGAGCCGAGGGCTCCCAGGGATGCGGAGTTTGGGGTGCAGAAGAGGGAGGCGCCCAGTCGCCGAGGGGGGCTGCGCCGGGTGCTGGGGGCTGCGCCAGGGCCGAGGGCGCCGGAATAGGGCCGCTCGGGGCCTCCAAAGGTGCCCGGTGGGCTCCGGCTGCGCCGAGCTGACAATGGAGGGGGCGCGGAGGCTCCGGGTGGAGGGAAGGGACCGGGGTCTGTGGGCGGGCCGCGCTGGGGAAGGTCAGGCCGGGGACGCCGGGCGGCGCGGGCGAGGGCCGGGGGCTGCTGCGCGGGCGGGCGCACGCCCCGGGGACGACGCGGAGGAGGGCGCGGGGCCGGGCACTCCCCTCCGGTTCCCTTTCCGGGGCGCCCGGTGCCGACGCGCGCTGCGCCTTCTCCGGGAAATGGCGGCAGATCCGCGGCTCGCCCCGGCAGTCCCGGCTTCCCGCTTTGCGCGGGAAAATAATAATAATAATAACAACAACAAGAACCGTCGCAATATAAAGAAAAAGGAAATAAAAGTAAAGTGACTGCGGCGCCGCAAAGGGCTGTGGGGTGGGAGAGGGCTGCGCCGGGCGCACGACACGGTGCGAATCGCACGCGGGGCGCGGCGGGTGGGGACCAGCCCTGCCTCTCCAGGCGCCCGGCCGGCCACCCAGGTGCACCCTCGATCCGGTCTGGCCAGCCCCCCATCGCGCCCGTGGGTGTTTTTTCTCGCCTTTCCTCGTGGGGGCGCCCTCCGCTCCTGCCCTCTTTGTTCCTCACAACAATGGTCAAAGGTGCATTGGTCCTCCAAGGGCCTAAGAGCCTCCTCCAGGAGTTTCCCATCGCCAATAGTTCCTAGGTGACAGGGTCCACAGTGGCTTGTTTGAGGCCTACTCATGGCTGAGGCTTTTATGGCCATGGCCCCTTGATGGGTGATGGGATGGAAGGAGCCAGAAAAAAATGGGCTGAGAAAAAGAGCGAGTCCCTGTGTGTTTGACAGAGTGCGATGGATCCAGGCTCCAGAGCCTGATTTTCGGGTAGTTCTGATGATACGATGGCGCTGGGGAACTGTTGGGCCAGCCTTGTCCAGCTCAGCAGAATTCAAGACCCAGGAGCCCCTAGGGGCCATCAGTCTACCATGGCAAATGGTGGCCTCACTTTTCTCATTTGGGTTTGAGTTGAAATACAATCGTACTCTCACTGAGCTGCACAGTTGCTACTGAAACGGGTCAATAGGTGAGAGGAAAAGAAAACATTATTAAGAACGAGAATGTCTTCATTTACGTTGTTTCAAAACACAAACTAAGCTGTATATAATTCTCAGTCCATTCATATTTAACTGAAAGTCATCTCTTTCCCCATTAGCAAACTCTTCTTATATTCAAATTAAATATTCAGAGCTACAAGATTTGTACTGCGCTTGTGAATTTCAGAATTGCTTTAGCCTAAGATTATCATATAAATATACACAGCCATTGCCGGGTGGGAAAATGTATCTGGAGTTGCACAATTCACATCTTCAAACCCCCTCTGTCCTACATCCATATTTCCTCCTAAAATAAGCCCACTTTTCCTCTCTGTTTTTTCCTACCCTAGTAGTTCTGCCTTACCTGGATCCAATCCTTGTCAGACTGTGGACTTTATTAATGGCTTCCACTATTTCAAACTCTATAAAAGAATTTGCTTCCTTGGATCCAGAATATCCGAAAGATTCTAACCCTACTGCCTCACCATTCCATCCTCTGTGAGTTCCCAGAGTTTGTGCAGAGCCTTTGGTCTGCTGTTTCCCACTGGGGGGGGGGACACCCCGCTAGCTATTGTCTGAGACAACCACAGTCTGTTTTCTCTGCCTCCTGCCAGCAAAGCAGGAGGTGAATTCTGTCGCAGGCAATTTTAAAGGAAAGATATCTGTAACTTGTTCTCAGGGAGGGATGTGCAGAAATTCAACGGACTTTCTTAAGAATGTTTTTCATTCTTAAGAAATAACCTCAGCCAGGCTGTTGTAATCTGAGAGGTTAGGCAGGCTGAGGCGGGAGGATCACAAGTTCGAGGCCAGCTTAAACAATTCAGCAAGATCCTCAGCGACTTAGTGAGATGCTGTCTCAAAAAAATATAAAGGACTAGGGATGTAGCTCAATGGTAAAACGCCTCTGGACTCAATCCCTGTTACAAAGAAATCAAGAAAGAACTTCAAACTTAGACACAGGCTTGGGAAATGATTTTGAAAAATATGTGTTGCTTAAAGATGAGCAAAAAACTTAGAGTTGGAGATCATTCTGCAAACATTTACAAAGCACTAATTCTTAAACACCTCTGAAAGGGGGAAGCAAATGTAAAAGAAGTCAGGGTCCTGTTCTCATTGAGCTTACACCCCAGGCCTCAGAAATCAAATAGAAAGTCGAGCAAACCAAGGGGAAATGTGGAGTTGGTGAACTAGTCGGGAGCCAGGAACTTGGAAATCTGTTGGTAGGTGTGTAATTGATAACCAACTTGGAGAGCAGTTTGGGCACTACTAAATGGATAATGTGCACATTCTGAGACCAGGATTTCATTTCTTGTTATATATCCTAAAAAAAGCCAGGCATGGTGGCACATGCCTATAATTCCAGCAACTAGGGAGGCTGAGGCAGGAGGTTCTCCAGTTCGAGACCAGCCTCAGCAACACAGCAAGACCCCCTCCTCTAAAAATATGTGTGTGTGTGTGTGTGTGTGTGTGTGTGTAGACTGGGAATGTAACTTAGTGGTAGAATGTCCCTGGGTTCAATCCTTAGTGATACAAAAAGAAAAATAAAAGTAGGCACACACATGCTCAGCATATATAAGGATGTTCGTTGCAGAGTCTTGGTTCATTGCTGAAATTGAAAACAACCTAACAGCCATAAATAGAGAATGGCTAAATAAACTCTAGTACATCTCTCTTCTGGAATATTAGACAGCAGTTAAAAATAATAAAACAAGTGTGTAAAAACTGAGACAGAGAAAGATCTCCAAGACACAACTAATGAAAAAAAGCAAAATTACCAAACAGTACCTATTATATGGTACTACTGATATAAAAACAAAATGAAATTTTAAATTTCTATAAATTAAAATGCTATATAAATGGACAGACAAGGTGCAAAATAAGATCCCTCCTAAAAGACAAGAAGTGAAGGAACTGTCAGGAAGGGCTTTAGTCATCATTATTCATACCCATTTGTTATCATATTTGAAATTGTACACGTTGGTTTAATTTATATAATGCTTGGATAACTGAATACAATTAATATTTTTTAATAATTAATAAAAAAGATCAGTAGATGACCTGCATTGAAGGTGAAAAATGCTACAGTACTTTTTAAAGAGAAAAGAGAAAGACAAAGGTGCATTTTTAAAAGGAATCCAGGTGGACCACGAGATAGAGAATGTTTTTCCCATGGGGACACATTGGGGTGTCTATCGGGAATCTGTTTAGATGGAAAGAAAAGTATTTGAGAATATAATTCATTTCAAAAGAAATCACAGAAGGAAACTAAAGATGCTTTTGAAACAATATTTAATGTTGGTTTCCTTTATTCATTCACTCATTTAATTACTGATTGAATGTCCACTAAGTACCTAATACTAAGCTCATTCAGGGACGAAATGGAACAGAATATAGGAAAAGCACCCTCACACCAGCAGTCCAGGGGGGTTCTAGGTGGGATGTCGCAGATCTGGCATGGACTGGCCTTTCAATGCCCTCTGTCCCTTCCAAACCGCACTTTTCATTGTAGATAAAATAAGGCAGGGGAGTAACTCAGGCATTGACCACGCAGGTCCCTTCCAGCCTGAGGTGGTGACTTTGTGAAATCCTGTGGTTCCAACAAGGAGATCATTGTGAATCCCAGGCAGATGGAATTTGGAAAATGTGGAATTAGATGAGGAAGGGTCCAAACATGCCCAGCCTTAGGGAGAAACAAAGTACTTGCTGACCCAAGGGTGCAGATCATGTGACCCGTGCGCACCACGTCAAGCACCCTAGTATTGCAGTAGCCTACTTTGAAATGGAGTTGAAATATACTGGAGGAAATGTTGGAGCACTGTACCCCCCMAAAAAATAGCTCTCTATAATGGCTTCTTTTGAGGAGTAAACCCTAATGGTTGGTATTTATTAAGTGCCAGGTGCTGGCCTAAACACCAATAGTGTTAATAATAGTTAATAAACTCATTTAATTCTGACAACAGCCCTACAGATAGAGAATTTTTTATACCCATCTTAACAGAAAAGAGATGCCCAGAGCCCGGCGTGGTGGCACACACCTGTAATCCCACAGCTCTGGAGGCTGAGGCAGGAGGATCACAAATTCAAAGCCAGCCTCAGCAACTTAAGCGAGGCCCTAAGCAACTCAGCAAGACCCTGTCTCAAAATAAAATACATAAAAAGTGCTGAGGATGTGCTCAGTGGTTAAGCACCCCTGAGTTCAATCCCTGGTACCCCCCCCCCAAAAAAAGAAAGAAACCCTGCTCAGAGTCATTACTCAGGGACTCCAGCCACCCACGCAGCCTGACTCTGCAGCCCTGCATCTCCGCAGCCKGGCAGTAAGGTTGAGGAGCTACTAGCTTCCCGGGGATCCTCAGGCTGTGTCGTTTGAATACTAGGATGTGCAATTTTTTTATTTAAAAAAAAAAACCCTGTATTTGCATCACT